TTTTTATATAATTAAAAATTCATAGAAATTAAAATTAAACTTTTAAACGTGTGGCTAATGACAAGCATATCTAAGAGAATTTTTAGGTAAAATTCCTTGATTTAGCTTATTTATTATAGCCACAAATCCAATCTTAACTCGTTAAAAATAAAGATTAATGTGAAGACTAATAAACAACCACTTGTTTTGCAAATAGTACGCTCGTTTTTCTTCAATCATGAAGCTAATTCTCTCACTTTTGTCCAGTAAACAAACATATGGAAACAAATACAAAGGGAAATTTAGAAAGAAAAGAATAAAATAATAATAATAATAATAATAATAAAAATAATAATAATAATAATAATAATAATAATAATATAATAATAATAATAATAATAATAATAATAATAATAATAATAATAATAATAAACCTAAAATTAGGTTATAAAAAAAAACGTAAAATTAAAATCAAAATTTCTTGAAAGAAAAATGCCATGACCAAAAAGATGAAGAAAGATATTGGTTTTTCATGCACCATTAACACAGAAGTAGGTTCAGTTTTAGCAGCATTAAGAAACAGTAACGAGCTATCCGCCTCAGAAGATAATTACCATGACACTGCAATCCTTCAACAATCCTTGAAATCATTGAGATCTCTCATTTTCAATCCTCGGCAAGAATGGCAATACATAGATCCTTCAATATACCTCTCCCCCTTCCTAGATGTAATACAGAGCGACGATGTCCCTGCAGCAGCAACAAACATTGCTCTCTCCTCGCTCATCAAGCTCTTAAAGATCCAAGTATTCGACGAGAAAACACCAGGGGCTCAGGAAGCCATGAATGCCCTGGTTATGTCCACTACAAGCTGCAGGCTCGAGAGGACAGATCCACTTAGCGAGGAAGGAATTCTTATGAAGGTCCTGCTGCTGCTTAACAACATAATGATGCACCCAGGCTCTTGCCTTCTCAAAGACGAGTGTGTTTGTAGGGTGATTAACACAACCTTCCAAGTCGTGCAGCAATCATCAAACCGAGGAAACTTGCTCCAAAGAGCCGCTAAATTTGCTATGCTTGAGATTTCACAAATGGTGTTCTCAAGGCTGGATAGCATAGAAGTGAAGGAAGGGGAGAATTCTGAGTCTGAGTCAGAAGAGTTGGATGTCAATGACATTGTGAATAAAGGATTTGGTCTTCGATGTGTGGTGGACATTTTTCAGTTCTTATGTTCCTTGTTGAATGTAGTGCAGATGGTTGAGATTGATGGGATCATATCTCAGAGCAATGATGAGGATATCCAGATCCTGGCTTTGATGTTGATTAACACAGCATTGGAATTGAGTGGCGATGGATTTTCCCAGCATCCAAAACTACGTAGGATGGTCGGGGATGATCTATTTCATCATTTAATCCATTATGGAACTCGTTCTAGCGCCCTCATCTTGTCAATGATTTGCAGCACCGTCTTGAACTCATATAATTTCCTACACGGGTTAGAACTTGATTTCCGAGCAATGATAAATCTAAAATCGAGAATGTTTAACTAAATAAAATAGCTATGTCTAGGTGCATTGGTTTTCCTTTCAAAACAGGGGGCTGTTTTGGAATAAAAACATTAAAATTGGATCAAGTTATCCAACCCCATAAATTGGTAAAGAGCCTGCATATTATTAAAGCAATGCATAGAGAAAGTTGAAGAAAATTCCTAACCATATAACACAATTAAAATGTTTCCTTGATCTTGCAGGTCACTGAGGCTCCAGCTTGAAGCATTCTTCACCTTTGTATTATTCAGAGTTGCAAAATTTGGCAGCTCGGTGCGATACCAAGAAGTAGCACTGGAAGGTATCATCAATCTCTGTAGACAACCCACATTTCTAATAGAGACTTACGTAAACTATGACTGCGCTTTCATGTGCTGCAATGTGTTTGAGGAAATGGGCAAGCTCCTTTGCAAACTGGCATTTCCAATGACTACCCCTTTGACAAGCTTGCAACTTCAAGCCTTTGAAGGCTTAATCATAATCATCCAAGCCATCGCTGACAAAGTAAACAATGGAGATAACACAGTTTCCTTCGAACCATTTCTGGTTGAAATTACAGAGTATTCTCCCTTTTGGGAAGAGCCATTAAGGAAGGACGACTTGGAAAACTGGGTTCATATTTTAAGACTGAGGAAAGCACAAAAGAAGAAACTATTGATTGCAGGAACCCATTTCAATCAAGATGAGAAAAAAGGTCTAGAGTACCTTAAAATTTCACACTTAATTCCAAATCCACCAGAAGCAAAAGCTTTTGCCTATTTCTTTCGCTTTACACCTGGGCTCAATAAGACTGCAATAGGAGATTATCTCGGTGACCCAGATGAGTTTCACTTACAAGTGCTAAACGAATTCACACACACATTCGATTTTACAGGCTTTGTTCTTGACACTGCATTGAGAACTTACCTAGAGAGTTTCAGGCTGCCTGGAGAATCCCAGAAAATTCACAGGATTCTAGAGGCTTTCTCAGAAAGATTCTTTAATCAGCAATCATCTGAGCTCTTTGAAACCAAGGATGCAGTGTTTATCCTTTGCTACTCTCTCATCATGTTAAACACAGACCAGCACAATCCACAAGTAAAAAAAAAGATGACAGAGGAAGAGTTCATCAGAAATAACAGGGCTATCAATAATGGGAAGGACCTTCCTAGGGAGTATCTATCAGAACTTTTCCAATCTATTGCCACACATGCAATTGCCATTTTTGCTCAATCGGCTACTTTGGTTGAGATGAACCCTAGCCGTTGGGTTGAGTTGATAAGTCGATCCAAATTTATGAATCCCTTCATTGTTTGTGACTTTGACCATAGACTAGGCAGAGACATGTTTGGAAGTATTGCAGGTCCTACAGTTTCTGCTCTCTCTGCAATTTTTGAGCATGCTGACGATGATGAAGTCCTTAATGAGTGCATAGAAGGAATGGTTTCAGTGGCTAGAATTGCACGGCATGGGCTAGAAGACATCCTTGATGAGCTTGTAGCCTCACTTTGCAAATTCACCACTCTGCTGAATCCATATGCATCTGCAGAAGAGACGCTATATCTATTTTCCAATGAACTGAAGCCAAGAATGGCAACTCTTGCTGTTTTCAATATTGCAAATAAATTTGGAGAGTCAATCAGAGGAGCTTGGAGAAATATAGTTGATTGCATGTTGAAACTCAAGAGGCTTAAGCTACTCCCCCAATCTGTGGTTGACTACGATACCTTAGTGGCAACAGAGAGTGAGTTACAGTCAAGGAACATCAGCGAGGACTCTAAATTCGGAAGTAGCAGAGGAAACAACTCCATGGCAACAGGCCGACTTTCACATTTTTTATTGGATGGTAATGAAGAGTTACTAAATCCTGGTGGAAGTGAGTTTGAGCAAAACCTGAAAATCATACAACAATGCAAAATAGGGAATATATTTAGTAATTCATCAAAATTACCTGTAGACACATTATTGAATCTAGGAAGAACTCTGATCTTCGCAGCGGCAGGAAAAGGGCAGAAATTCACGACAGCACTTGAGGAGGAAGAAACTGTCACTTTCTGCTGGGATATAGTAGGAGCCATTGCTTATGCAAACATTGACAGATTTTCCAGTTTCTGGCCTGCTTACTACGACTACATTGGTGCAGTTACTCAATTCCCACTTTTTTCTCCTGTGCCATTTGCTGAAAAAGCAGCAATGATCCTTTTTAAATTGTGCGTCAAGCTCCTTTCTTCTTACCAAACTGACAAGTATGCTGAAGAAGTCATGTTCAAATCAATAAGTTTAATGTGGAAACTTGACAAGGAAATTCTTGATACCTGCTGTGAAACCATCATACAAACAGTGTGCAAAATTTTAACTGAATTCCCAGGTAATGTACAAACCCCAATCGGGTGGAAAACACTTCTGCAATTGCTGTCAACCAATGGTCGACTTCCTGAAAACTATGATCAGGCAGTCAAGGCAATAATTCAGCTATTGTCTGATGGGAAAAACATGACCAGAAACAATTATGCATATTGCATTGACTGTGCTTTTGGTTTCGTTGCCCTGAGAACCAGCCTGGTGGAGAAGAACATACAGATGATGGATCTAATGGCTAATTCTGTCAAATTATTGATTCAATGGTACAAAGATAACTCTGACCCTGGAAGCAGTATCAGCAATGGAAGCATCGCAAGCAGTTCAGAAGACAAAATGAAATTATTTGTCAAGCTAGGAGAAGCCTTAAGAAAGACCAGTCTAGCACGACGTGAAGAAGTGAGAAACCATGCAGTAGCAAGTCTGAAAAAGAGCTTTGAACTAGCCAGAGATCTAGAGCTGACATCAACTAATACCATCATCTTCTTCAACCATGTAATATTTGCTATGGTTGATGATCTGCATGAAAAAATGTTGGATTACTCAAGAAGAGAGAATGCAGAGAGAGAAATGAGGAGCATGGAGGGTACCCTGAAAAATGCAATGGAGTTGTTAACTGATGTATTTTTGCTATACTTAAAGTCAATATCAGGAAATCCAGGATTCAGGAGTTTTTGGTTAGGGCTGTTAAGAAGGATGGACACCTGTGTGAAAGCAGATTTGGGTGTGCACGGTCCATCAAGAATGCAGCAAGTAGTCCCAGAATTATTGAAGAAGATAATTGCAGTAATGAAGGACACAGGAGTTTTGGAGCCAAGAGAAAATGATGACTTTTGGGATATTACATACATCCAAATTCAATGGATAGCTCCATCACTTGAAGGGGAGATGTTTCCATATATTCCGTAAAATGTTTTATGGTCATAAAAATACTGTTCTAATTCAATAGATGATCGAAGGGGAGATGTATTCGTGCTTTCTTTTAAATTTCTCTCATATATTTTGGTAGCAGAATATAGAGAACTAGCCTAATGCAAACCCGAAATCTTTAGAACTAACTTATCCAGCACATTTAGATGCCTGAAATACGGAAATTCCAGAGAACAAGAGAAAATAGGAATAAAAAATAAATAAATGTAGATCACAAAAACAAGATGGAAATATTATACAGTAACCAGCTGATGCTGAAGAAAGTTTTTCTATTGCTGTAATTTTTCTAATAACAGTACATTTCTGTTAAATTAATGCTTTGCCAACTGATACCAAAACAAAACATAGATCAAAAGCTAAAGGGACAATGAAAAAGTTACATGTTAGAAACTTGAAAAGAAACATCCCTGAGGCTTTGCACATTTAGGCATTTCTGCACACAGAAGGCACCTGTCAAGCTAGCCCATCGAAAAACATACGGCAGTCCTCATCATATTCGCCCTCCCGAAAGTTCCAATAGCATCCACTGAGAAAAGTAAAACTTAAGATTAGTACTATGACAGTATGACTACTATCATTGCAGAGAGCTACAGGTGGAAATGAGATAAATAAATAAACAATAGCATAGTTAATTTACACATGACAAAGATCTAGAACTCTCAAGGCAAGATTTTTGTTAGTCAATAAAATGAACAGAAAATCTCAATTTAAATTTTAAACTGCATAACAAGCATGGAGATTACTGAAGAACAATCCCTTCTCTCTCTCTCTCTCTCTCCCCCCCCCCCCCCTCCCCAATTGCATCTATACAGTATGTTAATGAACCTGTATATCACATTATCATCACTCTTCCTCAAGTTGTGCCCACGAATTTGAGCACAAAATGCAAACTTGAAAAGGATGCAGAAAACAACTAGCATGCCTTCAGCAAATAGAATATTGGTTGCTTCCAAAGCTAAAGCATACACAACCATCATGTAATAATACACATTTTCAGCCAACATTCTCAAAACCAAATATAGAAGTAATATAGTTTCAAACTTTCAAATGTATAGGATATATATTGAACACTACCTTACCATATCTTACACTCAATCACAACATCTAACAGACCTACATATACAAATGCTTAACATAACAAAATTACCAAAAAAAAAAAAAGGTTTAAGAGCAACCTTCATCTCTCACACATTCTCAACAGAACAATCACTGTCCTGTTCCTGATCATCCTTTTGTCCTAATTTCGCAATCTCAACCTTAGTTCGATCAAGCATCTCCTTCTTTTGCAATTCCAATTCTCTCTGAAACTCCTCCCTCATCCTATCCAATTCCTCCATATGTTGCTTCTTACTATCCTCCATCTTCTCATATATCTCCCCAACCCTCTTAATCGACTCCGATAACATTCTATATGACTCTTCCGCCTCTTCCTCATCCTCGTCTTCCTCATCATCATCATCTTCCCCACACTCGGACTCCGAATTCCCTGGACTATCCCTCATCTCATCAGATGCATTAGAATGATCCAAGTAAACTCTCGGGTTCATAAACACGAACTCGCCCGAATCAACCCCACAAGCTAACCCACATTGCTCTTGCTGTTGCAATTGCCTAGGTGACATTGTCATCAAAACATCCATTTTCTTGAAGAATACCCATTTGCTACTCCCAATTCCTAAGCCAATCACTTTAGCTTTCTCTCTCTTATACTTCATCTTCAATGCATTCAACCTACTTCTACAATCCGAAACGCAGCGTTTCGACCGCGTCGCCTCCGAAACTCGCTCAGCGACTTCGTTCCAGTCCTCACTCCTCAAACTACTCCTACCCAATTGAAGAAACCTCTCACCCCAGATTTCCAAAAGGACGAAAGTACCCTGCTCCGACCAATCGGAATCCATGCCGGAGGATTTAGGGGTAGAATGGTAATTCCAAGTAGAGAGCTTTCTCTGCTTCTGGCGATGTCGAGTGGATGTGCGGCGACGCCCAGGACCGTTGAAGTCTTCGTCATTGATGTCGTCATCTTCTTCTTCATCGGAATCGTCGATTGCTCCAAGAACGACGTCGTTTTCATCGTCATCATCTTCTTCTTCGGCGTAACTTTTTTGGGGTTTTGATCGGCGAGAATAAGGGTAATTCGATCGACGATCCATTGATAAAATAAAGGAGAATTGAAGATTAATTTGATGAAATTGCAGGGGATTTTTGTTGTCCAGAAAAACCCTAGAACTATAGCTAAGAATTGATGATTGAAGAATGTAGTTGGCAGTTTTGCGACAGTTTAAGTGTTTAACCAACCTTTTTTCTTTTTCTTTTTAATTTTTTGCCTTTTGGCTTGGATAGCTTATTGAGGGGATTTGACATTTTGATCCATTAGAAGTTCTGAATCTGAAGCCCAACAAAGTTCATGCTCTAAAGACTAAAGTCTATGCAATCAGATTTGACAATATGACTCGATCCGATTTATCAATCCATATCTGAATTGTATTCGAAATCATCTGACTTTACTCGAGATTGAATTTTCATAGAATTGATCGGTTTTACATGATAAATTGATTGACTTAGAATTCAATCGACTCTAAATCAATCTGAAAACCAACTAATAGAGTCAACTTTACCTCTAGTCTAATTAAAAAACACACAAAAGTATCCGTATACATCCTTTTGAAAGTTTTTTTTTTTTAGTTGGGTTACTCTCATCGAGCACATATAACTGTTGTGTTTTTAATAAAAAATTGTAAACAATGATTGAGAGTGGTTCAAAGATGGATGACCTTTTTGGAAAGTCCTCATACTGGTTTATGTAGTCGACTCCGCTTATGGGATTAAGGCGTTCAAGCAGAAAAAGAAAAATTATAAACAATAATGTAAGAGATTTTCCTATATAATAGAAATCATAAATATTGGTTTAAGTGAAATATACATGATTACTTTTAAGATCTTTCTTTTTGCTTAAATTTGAATATTAATCAAACTAACAATGGTTGAAGCTTATAGTTTTTATATTATGAAATCAAAGAGTGTAAATTATTCTACCTTTATATTAATACAAGTATATTAGTAAGTTTTTTCTGATAATGATTGTCAACCAAGTATATAAGATAGTTCGAATTGAATCAATAAAACCCTAAATGAAAACTAAAACCTCAAGTAAAATTAAAATAGAATTGTCTATATGAATTGTCGTTTTTACGATCCCAAAAGAACAAACCAATCATTTATGTTAGCCAGGTTGTATTCTACATGTGTTGTAAGACTTGTAACTCGATTGATATCTTCAATCCAATGTGCTAATATGACAGTATTATTTTACTCACCCAAGTACCCAACTCACTTCTCAGTTATTGTTTATATATAGGTAGTGGCGGATCCAGGATTTTCGAACTTATGAGTCACCATCAATAATTGATCACTTATTTCAATCCAAAAATTATATTTCACCAAAATTATTTCAATCCAACAATAGGATATAAAAATACATACTATAAAACTATTAAATTAAACTAACTTTATGATTTTTTACTTAAAAACAAGAATTATTAAAAAAATGTTAGATAACTTAAGAGACCGGTTATTAAATATAACAGGTCTCTTTATTGAAATATGAAAACGGCGCAAAAATTATTCTGCTGAAAAAAAGAGACCTGTTATCTAGATAAAAGGTCTCTAATGACGTGGTGGCAATGGCAGCAACAAAGAGACCACCTATCTGATATTTTAATAGGAGGTCTCTTTGATATCTAAAAAACTGACAGTGGCTAATCTCAAATAGAAGCAGCAAAGAGACTTCCTATCTGTAATAGGCGGTCTCTTAGCTTTTTTTTTTTTTTTTTTTTGTGCTGGTGAGTCACGTGACTCACTGTGCACCTTAATAGATCCGCCCCTGTATATAAGAGACTTGTACGTGGTTGGTCTTATAATTACTCTCTATTTTAATTTTCGAGACGAAAAATACTTTTTCCGCTTCATTAGAGTTGCAACATGGGATTGATAACCTTTCCAAGGTTTACTTGAAATCATGTTAGGGTATAGTTGATTAATGGTACCATAGTTCACCCTTATTTTGGTCGGGTTACTTTACACGTAGTAGATTAAATTTCCGACCTATAAATTGGACTTTCATTATGTTATATGTGTATAGCTATTTTGGTCATAGGCCTAAATATTCCAATTTGTTAAGGGTACGAATTCTTGGCCACAATTTAAGGCTTGATCTCAGTTCTAAATTAGCTATATCTTGGATTGTTTAAAGAAAATCAATCAAACTTATGATAAATTCAAAATCAAGTATACCGGATTAGCAGTTTTTCTAAAAAAAAAATGTTCTCCAAATTGGTTCGTTGCTTATACCCAAACCAATTCAAAAAAATCTTTCTTGGGAAGTAGAAAAGAACTGAATTAAGAACCACAGAAAATCTAGATACAATTTTTAACCCTTGATCTTGAATGCTCCATACTACAGGTAGTATATATGTACGTATATATTTATATTTATGTGGTTTGGTTGTGTTTGTGAATTGTGAGTGGTCATTTGTACAGTTAGTTGGTACTCTGTAACCTAACTTTGTCCTCCTGTTAGATTGCAAAATTTCGTATGTAGATGCAATGGAATGCATTTATTTCAACATTTGCATAAAAACTTACTAGCTTAGCAAACATAAATGTTGATATGCATCATGCATGCCATCATTATTAATTCATTTTTATATATAAATCGACTGTTATTAATAAAATTTAATTTCAAAAAAAAAAAAAGACTTCAATGATAGACAATTCAAATTATGATGTAACTAATTAAAATGTCGTCGAATAAGGTTTACATGACTTCATCTAAAGTACGTTAAAGTCATATCAACAATAAGTGCAATTAGTCATAAACTTAATCAAATTCGAGTTTTTTCATCGCAATATAATACACTTATCAATTCCATCAATTCAATTTTCTATAATGTTCCCTAGTTTGAAGTACGTAGATCATAAAACAGTACACCATAATGATTAGTACAACTGTACAGTTAGGAGTTCGAGAAAATAATTTAATGATGATGTACCGACAAAAAGTTAGTTGCAGGTTCATCAACAACCTAGCTAATTTTCATGAGTTTGCGGTTATTACAAAGGAGGCGGGCCGGCGGGGGCAGCTAGCTAGTTAGTACGTGGTGCCATGAATGCAGCAATTAAATGCATGCAACAACTAACATTATATATATTCACGTAAATATGCATGCATGCATGACGAGTGTTTGTTGCTTACCTGGACGTGGTTGTAAAGCTTTGTATTTGTCAACTACTATCATTCATGTATCATAAAATTGTATTTGTGTAGATCATGAAGAGAAGATAATACAACTGTACTACTTGCTTCCATGGACCGCCCCACATTAATTTATCAAGACATTAAATGTAGTCTAGGGTTAAGTTTTATTATATAATCATGATGTGGAGGATGTGTAGTGTATGTTGAAGTAGATGATTTTCATACATTATTGCTCATTTGTTGTTTGTAGTTATGGCTAGAAGGGTGGATTTAGTTCTATGTCTTGTTGCTTTAGTGGCTGCTTCTTTGGGTGTCGAGGGTAGGGATGTTAGTAAGATTCATGATGTAGATGTGAAAAAGCCAGAGACGTTTTTGGGTGGAGTTGGTGGTGGTGGGGTGTTTGGTGGCATAGTAGGGTGGAAGAAGGGGTGGGGTGTTGGGATTGGGAAGGGTGTTGGGTTTGGGATTGGGAAAGGAATTGGGTTTGGGATTGGAGCTGGCAAGCCTGATTGCTACGGGAAAGGAGGACTAGGTGGTGTAGGTGGTGGTTCCGGAGGTAGTGTAGGTGGTGGTTCCGGAGGTGGAGTTGGTGGTGGTGCAGGAGGTGGTGCTGGTGTTGGTGGTGGAACTGGTGGTGGTGTTGGAGGTGGTGCTGGTGGTGGCACCGAAGGTGGTGTTAGTGGAGGACATGGGAAGGGTGGCTACTATGGAGGTGGTGCTGGTGGTGGCACTGGAGGTGGTGGAGGACATGGAAGTAAGGGAGGAAGTACAGGTGGAGGGGTAGGAGGAGGTTCAGGAGGAGGAACTGGTGGTGGTGTAGGTGGAGATATTGGCAAAGGAATTGGTGGAGGAATAGGCAAAGGAATTGGAGGTGGTATAGGTAAAGGTATTGGTGGAGGAATAGGTGGAGGAATTTGGAAGGGAGTTGGAGGAGGCATTGGAGGTGGCATCGGTAAAGGAATTGGAGGTGGAATTGGTGGAGGTATATGGAAAGGAGTTGGTGGAGGCATTGGAGGAGGCTACCATAAAGGGATAGGAGGAGGAATTGGAAAAGGAATTGGTGGTGGAGTAGGAGGAGGTGTTTACAAAGGTATTGGAGGTGGATTCAGTAAAGGGATTGGTGGTGGAGTAGGAGGAGGTGTTTACAAAGGTATTGGAGGTGGATTCGGTAAAGGGATTGGAGGAGGAATTGGAAAAGGGATTGGTGGTGGAGTAGGAGGAGGTGTTTACAAAGGTATTGGAGGTGGGTTCGGTAAAGAGATTGGAGGAGGAATTGGAAAAGGAATTGGTGGTGGAGTAGGAGGAGGTGTTTACAAAGGTATTGGAGGTGGATTAGGTAAAGGGATTGGAGGAGGAATTGGAAAAGGAATTGGTGGTGGAGTAGGAGGAGGTGTTTACAAAGGTATTGGAGGTGGATACGGTAAAGGTATTGGAGGAGGAATAGGAAAAGGTACTGGCGGTGGCATTTGGAAGGGAGTTGGTGGTGGAATTGGAGGCGGTGTTGGTAAAAAGTTTGAAGGAGCAACTGTTGTTGCCCACAAATCACCATCACAACACTGAAGGATCAAATTATATATCTAGCGTTTGTAATTCCATTTGTTGTAGTCTTTAATTTCAAGCATCATTTTAATTCCTAGCAAAACTTTTGCTACCAATTGAATGTTGTTTCTATTTCCCTAATTAATATTAGTAAATGTAAGATGTTACATTTGCATATAATTATACCGCGTATGATTGATAATACCACTTTGTGCAAATTTCTAATACTTGTTTTTCCCCCTATTTATAATTTGAACATGATAATATATACCAACTCAAAATTATGACAAGAAGAATCTCAAACTAATATTTGGATCAAAATTATTCACATATTTTTGTTTGTAATATATATATATATTTATATAAGATTTAATTAACTCTATTTGAGAAATAACTCCAAATTATGGAGTTCTTACATCTCTTTGAAAAGTTAGATGCCACAAACCTAAGCTAAGCCTTCTACTTTCCTTGAAGCTGTCAAATCCAAAATGGCTTCTCCAACGGACATGTAAACCCCATTATTAGAACCAAATAATTCAAGCACCTTTGATTTGTGAAGCTTCTCCATCACACTCCCAACAGGATTTACAAGAGTCAACTGCAAGAAATATAATCACATTAATCCCAAAAATAAGCACAAATTTGAATGTAACTTGAAACAATCCAAATCAACCAAATCTTAGCCCCTAATCACCTGTAATGATCTCTTTCGGATGATCTTTCCGAGCTCTTGGATGGTGTCGATTCCACTCGTATCAATGGCTGTAACCGCTGCAAATGTGGACGATTGTTGTTTGGTTATAACTAGCATTTGGTGGTAAGAAGTAAGTAGTAAGGTTAACCAATTATCAAGCAGTATTTTGATGAAATGAACCTGTCATGTCTAAAATTACATAGTTTAGCATTGACTCTCTATTGGATTTGATCCAATCTTCCTCTTCCCTTATTGATCTTAGTATACTGCAAGAAGTTCAGTTGATAATTAAGGACAGACTTGCACCAAAAAAAAAATCAATATACAATGTAAAAAAATAATGCTAATTACCGTTCTTGGAGGTAAGTTGAATTTGCAAAATATATGGGAGCTTCGACGCCTAAAACAAGGAACGATGGGATCCTCGAGGCATTCTTGTAACGTTCAAGGCTCTGAAACATTTGAGTGCCTGGAATGTTGCCTAAAGACACTATGTTTGGTCTAGTTATATGCAGGAGAACCTTGAATACTGATATTCCAACCTGAAAATTTAGGCAGTCAATTAGATTGCTTAAATTTACATAATAAATTTGGGATATATTCGAAAATTTGTAAATTGAGAATATTATTACAGCAAGGGAAAGCCCTGAAGGCACTGAGATGAAGAGAACGCCGAAAAAAGAGCTCAAACAAGCCACGAAATCAAGTTTGTCAACTTTCCATAATCTATAAGCGCCTTGGTAGTCTATAAGTCCAATAACAGCTGTTATAATGATTGCTGCTAAAACAACATTGGGAGTGTAATAGAAGAGGGGCATCAGGAAGAGCAGAGTGACTAATACAGCAGTTGCCATCACTATATTGGAGAAAGCGGTCTTAGCTCCAGCATTATAGTTCACAGCAGATCGAGAAAATGCTCCTACAGGTTTAGGAAGTTTATATGTTAATCGTCGAAGTTAGATATATGAGGATGATTATTAATGAGATGTGCATACGAGAATTCTTATCAGTCAGTTTGTTTCTTCATTTTAGTTTACCTGTAGTCACATAGCATGAGGAGCATGAACCAACGACGTTCATTATGCCTATTGCCATCATTTCTTTGTTACCGTCAACTTGATAATTTTCCAAGGAAGCAAATGTTCTACCAACTGCAATTCCCTCCTAAAGGTAACCAAATTGTACGAAATTCAGCATGCATGATGGGGAATATATATTCAAAAGCACAACTTAAAATCTACAAATCAGGGGTGATTTAATAACTTGAACTAAAGAAGGCAAGGAACTAATCATCACTTACAGTTAGAGACAGAATACCAGTTATGAGACCCGTTTTAGCAGCCAGAGCAATATGGGAACTGTGGAAGTATAACATGTTTACTGAGGGAGGATTCAGACCCTTGGGCAGCTGACCAATCTGTTCGACGAACAAAATAATTCAATTAACACAATCCATCAGCAAAATTGTTGCTTATGACAGTACAAGCAGTTTATTTATTATCAGTTTGTACATAATTGGATATAATTAACAATAAAATTAACCATTTTTATTTGTCATGATAACACTAATAATATCAGCTTGTTTGATCAACTGGTAGTGTTAGGTAGTTTTGTACTCAGGTTGGTTATTAACCAAGTGTTGTGGTAAAACGTACAAATAAAAGGCAACCAACAGAACCGATTACCAAACAAGGCTGAAGTTTCATCATGAAAACGTTTCGTGCATATAGTGACTTAAAAATTATTACTACGGCAGCAGATGTGACACTAGTGCAACAAATGGACCTGATATACATGAACTATCAACAATCATGGTATCGGACCACCCAATAACTTTACGTGGCCAATATTCAACAGACCAAAGCTCACATACTTTGGTTTAAAGAAAGACAGAGATTCCAAATCTTTTGAAAAAAGTTGATTAAGATTCAAAGTTCCACTTCCATTCCTTTTGAGGCATGTAAGGGCACATTACAATAAAGCACTACAAGGTTTAACGGATAGAACTAAACGTCAACCAAAAAGAAAAAAACAAAGTATGAAAATGAAACAAATTAAAGCAACCAAAATGTGACCATCCTTACTTTGGGAATCTTATCTGCATTAGACTTGAGACAAAATACTATGAAGGTTGATAAAATCACTGATGCTAAAGGAGCCGCGGCTGATATCCAGAAGAGCCTAGGCTTCTTCGTGCTCTGAATATCAAAGAAATAGAAACAAGAACAAAATTACAAACAGCAAGAAAACATAACAAAAAACATCAATAATGCATTTACATACAAATGAATGATAGGTATAATAAAATCTAGGATATGAATGGCTTACAATTTGTCTTGCTGCCAAAAGAAAAAACAGAAAACTGATCCCCATAACAATTGTTTGCCATGACCACTGCAACCATTAAAAAAAAGACATGATCATCAGTAAATTATTCAGGGTACTACAATTTTTACTCCCTTTCAACAATCATGTTGATCAAATATATATACTGAAGGTATTCAAACTTGAAGCGGTCATGTATTTGTGGTAGTAAATAAATGTAAAACGAAGCATGTCACAAGTATTCGATTAACAGAAGTACGTAGAGCATCATCTTTTTATTTTATTTTTCGTATCAATTATTGACCATTAAGGACTTAAACATGACATTCAAGGAATCAAGGGTGCCAAAACCATGCTCAAATGTAAATCATAATAGTACTTGTCATTTGTTCGCGATAATACATGTAACCTTGCACATCATATAGTAAGTTACCTCATTTCTGTGGCTAAAAACGGAAGACAAGACAGGGATAATCTGCATTTTGCTAGTAAAATGATTTATTCCAAGCAACCCTTTGAGCTGTTGAAGAGAGACAATGACTGCTGCTCCAGCCATGAACCCAATTAATGTGGCCTTTGATAAGAAATCAATAATAAAACCCAACCTATAATATCATATGATTAGACATCAGTCAAAGCATCCAACATAATACATGATATATGTTCCAACAGTCCTACATAACCATTATTTTGCCAATATAATTTCTCATACGCATTTTATCAAACATATACAATGCACATTGTTACCGCGAATCATCAACACTAAAAACCCATCAATATCATAATGTAAAAGATACCCATTAACTTAAATTCACTGAATTTATTTTGAATTAGTGAACTTTACGTGTATTTCCAGTACAAGAAATTTAAACATAGATTCCTTTCCCATCATCTATATTTTTTTTTGTCAAAAAAAGGACACAACTTTATAACAAAGTACCACCACTCTATGTGCAGTGTCACCCCTTTGCGAAGTTGACTATTAAGTCCATATACAATACACCCGTTGTATACAAGTTTTACGCGCCATACCTGAAAAAGCCCAACCAGGCCTGAAATAACCCGGCAAAGAGAGTAGAAGTGAAAGCGAGTTTGAGGTAGAGGACTGAATCATTAACCGGTGAGACGAATTCGGTAAGCATTGCACCCATTACTAGAGATGCAATGGAAACTGGACCAACACCCAAATGTTTGGAACTCCCAAGAACAGAGTATATTAAAGGTGGTACAAAACTTGAATCTGCAGAAATTAGTCTTTAATTAGTTAATTAACAAGGAAAATTCAAGGATTAGTAGTGTAATTAGTGGTTAAGTGTGCTTACATAATCCAATTATAGGAGGCAAATTTGCAAGCTTTGCGTAGCTTATACCCTGCCATTAACAAGATAAATGCATCAATTTAGGTTCATAAAATCATAATAAAGTTTTGAATTGATTATTTGCCAAACCAAAATTTTCAACTTCTATTATACTTGTACATTTCTTTTTTTTTTGAGTAGTAAGGGTTGATAATGAAAATCGACATCAAGATCACGTGAAACTGAAAGGAAAGTTCCCTCACTCTTTGCTATTGTAGTCTTTTTGGCCCCACCAAGTTTGTCAATTGTCAAATTTTCTTCTGAAGTCTAAACATATTTGACTAATATTTTTCTTCATACGCTTGACAATTAAATAGACGGGATTTAAGATTTGAATAGAACCCTTAAAATTCAATGTGCCGATAAAGGAAAGTACTACAGTACTCCGTAAGTAACATAAATACTGAAGAGGTAACATAACATCTTATTTATAGGACCCTTGAATAATATTTGGTCCTACTTGTTATACATCTTTCTATGTACTACTTCCCTCAATTCAAATTTAATAAAAATTTACTACTAGTAGTTAATAAACATACTAACGAGTAGCCAACAAATTCTTAATTAATTTGCACAATTAATTAATATATATATCAAGAAGCATCATATTCTAAGGTTTATAAATAAGATGCTTTACACTAGCTTAAATAGGGACGAAATAATGTTTTTAACTTTATATAACTATGACAAAAGAACAAAAATTGTTCAGCAATGAATAAAGTTTCCAACTTGATGTTTACACGATTTTAGGATGGTTAATAAGTTAGGGCTCGATTCTCATGGGGTGGGGTCGAGGGGAGCTTGGAGTATGTGTTCAAATAATGTGCACCATGATTGATGGGTCTATATTGTACAATGCACTACCCATAAAACAGACCTCCTACAACCTTTAACTATTAAAAGACGTACAGACTTTCGAGTTTTGGGTTTTGAATAATTATTGATACGAAAGTATGTGAAATTAATTGTAACACTAAGGTCCTGTTTGGTTTGATGTAAAAGGTTTTCATGGAAAATGAATTTTTCATTTTTTCTCATTTTCCTTTGTTTGGTTTGTTAAGGAGTGGTAAACAATTTTTCAAGGGTGGAAAATTCCATCTTTAATGGAAAACATTTCCTTCCAAAAACAAGGGAAGCCACATTTTCCTCTCTCTTCCTTACCTCTTTTTTTACTTCCCTCTCATTTCCACTCTTATTTTTTATTTTTCTTGGACTTTTCTTGTAAGCAACCAAACAATGGAAAACTAATTTGCAATTGTGTTTTTCTTTGAAAATATGTTTTCCATGAAAACTAATTTTTCATTCAAAATGTTTTACGGTTAAACCAAACGGGACCCATATGTCATCAGTGAATTCCTGAACTTTTATATTTCAATGGAAAATTGCTCGTAAGTCATTGCCTTATAATTGGTGAACAAAAATTCTCCCAAGGTAATGATGGATGAAGAATTATTTGTTTTATATATACTCGTATATTATGGTTTATTTCATTTTTCACATGCCAAACAGTACTAGAAGTACAATTTCTACCTGTAAACAACTAATTATGTTTCAGCGTACTCTATATTATCAAAATTACTATTCATTATCGAAGATTTGTGTTAATGCATGGAATCATTAAGGTCGAATGATATGAGTAACTTAAATCAATTCAATTCAAGTTACCAAGTATAAAATGTGGACTATTATTTTAAGACGACTTTAAATAAAAATTTATATACCCTTGTGTTATTTACTAGACACAAGAGAAACATACTATAAAAATAGACTATGCTAATCATTATGTAGTATAAAGTTATGTGGGAAAAAAAAAAAAAAAATTATGATAAAACAGGAAATTATTTTATCAATGAGTATATATTTCAAGCAATATTAGTATGGAATTGTAATAGTTTGCATTATTAGGCTGCACCAATCAATAAAATTGGAAAAGTTGGCATTATTACTCAATAGTTGGTTCGTGTAGGCGGATGCATGATCCACATGGTGCATCCGCTCCAAAATACAAAAAGGCGGAATGAACATTCAGATATATTCTAATGAACATGGTCATATAAAAGAACATAGTAGTCATTTTTAATGTACATGGACATATACATAAAAGAACATAGTGTTCATTTGTAATGTACATCAGTTTTTTATGCAACAATTTTGTATATATATATTTTTTTAAAAGAAATTTTGTATAATGAAATAGATAAATAGTACTATGATTAATTTTTTTACCATACATTAATTACAAATCATTTCAATTTTTATTTTTACCAAAAGTTCACTTTCCCTCTCCAAACAAAACTTCAAACCCATTTAAATTCCTCAAACCTCAAACAAAATTTCAAGAAATTCGAAATTTTGAGCCCAAGATTGTTCAAGATGACAAATAAAAACAAAAGGTAAGACCAAATTCGACATTTGTACTTGTTTATTTGACATTCATACTTGTTTATTTTGAGTTTGAGTGTTTGTTTTTTATAAATTTGATTGAAAATTGTAATATTTGGTTTTATTGAAAATTAATTGCGATTTTGATATAATTTTGTTGTTGCAATGAGAAATAAAATGAAATTCTTGAAGAAGATCAACCGATTAATATATTTTGGAAGAAGAAAGCAAGCAAATAGACAAATTTAGAAAAAGTTGTAAATCCAAATAATACAATGTACATTAAAATACAGTAAAATGTTCTTTTTTCATATACTTATATGATGCAAATAATACAATGTACATAAAACATGTAACCAACATTATAACTAGGGATGTCAATGGGGCGGGGCGGGGCGGATGTTGGCTTTCCCATCCCCACCTAATATTTTCATCCCCATCCCCATCCCCGCGGCGGGTCTAATTTTCATCCCCATCCCCGCCCCACCGGGTACGACTCCAAAACCATCCCCGCCCCACCCCCCACTTGGATATCCATCCTCACCTAATCCCCACCAAAGACCCGCCTAATCCCCACCCAAGATCCACCTAATATCCGTATATCAAATACACAATCTTACATAATTAATACGAATTATAAAATAAAACATTCTATACACATTTTTGTGTTATAATATAAATGTCGTACAAAGTATTATAATTAATATTGTATCATGTAATTATTTTATAAATAGAATAAAAATATGTAATTTTGCTTTAAAAGATATATAGATGTGGGTATAAGGTGGGGATGGGGCGGGTACGAAGTGGGGTGGGTGGGGCGGGGCGGGGCGGGGATGGGGCGGGTACAACTTAAAATCCACCCCCGCCCCATCACCCATGGCGGGTATGGTTTTTATCCCCATCCCCACCCCACCACCCGCCAAACCAAGACTCATCCCCACCCCATTGGGGCGGGGATGGGGCAGGTCTCTTACTTGACCCGCCCCACTGACATCCCTAATTATAACATATATGTTCATTAGAATATAATACAATGTACATTATAATACAGTAAAATGTACATTTTCATATACATACATGATCATTTATACCAAATGTACATTTACTATATGAATAATTTTCTTTAATATTATCATGTTCTTTACTAATATTACAAATGTTCTTTAGATGTACAAAAAAACATATAAAACTGGATGTTATTTATAAAATAGCTATATGTTCTTTACAAAACAACTATATGTTCTTTACTGAATAGCTAAATGTTCATTCCGCCTTTTTTTAAAGAACACTGTATGCACCAAGCATGGTGCATCCGCCTCCACAGAAAAAAATTTCAATTATTACTTACTTCTAAATAAGGTTGATAATTATGAGTACCATATAATCATATATGATGATTATAACCAAAAGCAGATAAAATTATGTAGATATTCTAAAGGTAACATTACCTTATAATTTGATGCTTACCATTTTAATATGATTTGTTTCATTATTTACCATAATATAGTCAAACCTAAAAAACTTTGACCATCTATTGCACTTCTATACAAAATAAATTATTATATAAGATTATAAGATATGCGATGTATATATATTGTAAGAATCACTTTACTGTATGTGGTATCCATACATCAATTTTACATAATTTACACCACTACACGTATCTATCTATAATTTTATACTAAAGGCGAAACTAGGAATGACACATGTCATCTCCTGGTTAAAAAAATTTCCTCCAATTTTTTTTTTTTTTTTTATTTTTATTCTTTTGGCCAAAGCTTCTTAGAAAAGTTTTTAATACACAATAATATTTCATTTCTTATTTGATAAGTATATTCTATTTGTACACATTCAAACAAAAATATTATTTTTTTATACAATAATATGCAATAATAGTTTGCTATCTATAACTTTGTAATGTAATTCATAGTTATTTTTATTAGTCGTGCATATATTATTCTCTCTGTTTTCTTTAGTGTAATAAATTTTTTAATTTTTTTTTGTAATTACAGAACTTTCATCCTATTTTGCAATTAAGTATAATTTTTTATAATTAAATAATAGTGTTAAACTAATGATAAGTATTAAGTATTAAAAATTACTGTGCATGGCACGGGATTTAACCTAGTTAAAGATATAATCGATCAAGCATATATATATGGTGCATACTCCACGACAAAATGCAAGTAAGCAGACTAAAAAAGAACGAAAGGAGTATCAATTATCCATAATACAAACGAAAAAGGATTTTAAAAAAATGATTAAACAAATTATTACCTGTGGGATGGCTAGGCTAGCAATGGTGAGTCCAGCAACAAGATCAGATCTAAAGAGCTGAAAACCATAAGTAGGTAACCATTGAAGAATAGGGAAGATGTATTGAAAACCCAAAATTAATTTGGTTTTAAGATTTTTGTTCTTAAATTGATAAAGTGGATCATCCGGGAAGAAAATTTCATTAAGTTTGTGTTTGAGTTTTTGTAATGTGGTTTTTTTGGGTGGCAAAGAGACACTATGTATCCTTAGACTATTCGGTACGTTAATCGACATTTCTTCTTGCTCGACGGACATAGCTTGATGACCTTGATCCTCTAGTCCCATACTCGAGTTCATACAAGAAACACTCTCTCCTCGATCACCAAGTTTTTTTGAGGGGGAAAAGAGGAGTATACTTGAAACATTAAGGTGTAAAGTGTATATATATAGGGAGGTTAGGACATTATCTAGATTGAAATAATAGAATATAAATTAGGAATATAAATTATTGGACCCATCTTATAGTTTTGTGGATGTGTGTGTATTTTTTTTTAAGGGAAGGGGAAATGCTACAAGTTATAGACCGTTGGTGTGTGAAGAGGGAATATATATTTTTTAAAACAAATATAAAGTATATTAATTAGAATTAATGGACATTATTTCTTAATGGTTATTTGGAAAGTAAAATAAGAATTACATAAAAAGGAAGAAATTATAATGACCGTGCATGGAGGGAAAATTAAGTGGCTCAACTACTACTGTTTTTGAATAAAGTGAGACTTGAATGAATATGTTGATAGTTGCACACTTGCACTAGAAACAAATAATTCATATTGATCGACTTTTTTTTTTTTTTTTTTTTTTTTTTTTTTTTTTTTTTTTATGATCATATATATGCCATGAAGGTGTCATATACTCATATGTCATTGTAACTTCCTACATACCCTAAGGTGCTTAGCTTGATTTAATTCTCACCATATTCATAGGGTATTTCTCACCAAAAGTACATACGTCGTGTCATGGATCTTAAAGGCGGATGTATTGTGTTTTGTACAAGGAGGGGCTAGCTTTATACATCTAAGATCGATATTGATATAGGTTCGCCTCAAGCCCACCCACATGCTCTAATTATTAAACGTGAAAACTTAAGTTATGCATTAACATTTATTTTGATAGTTAATATTTCACAATTGTTCGTTTTTATTTCATATCATCTGATTACTTAGTAACTTTCTATCTCTTTTGTATTAGAAAATAGGAACCGTTACTTGATGATTTATATAACCTGATATGTGCATAATGTAACTCCATGAAATTGTGCCTTGCAAGTAAGCATCAAGAACAAAGTACTATGTTTAGCATAGTTGATTAATTGCATGATTATATGCTTAAAGACCGCATTTCAATTTCTTTTGTTTTTTTCCCCTTGGCTTGTGCACAACAAGGACAAGTAGACAAGGAGATAATTTCAAAAAATCCATTTTTGTAGTAGAAGATATTAATCATGCAATTTGAAGATTCTATTCATACACACAATTAAATAATGCAAAGATGTTATATGTCTTGATCACCTCAAAATTACATGATTAATACCTTAGATGAACTACATCACCTAATAAGAAGATGCAAGCTTTCCATTCCTAGAAAATATGGAAGGTAAAGTTGAACATCACAACTACTTTGGTAATTAAGTGTTTTTGTATTATGTTGTCTTTTTTGGTGATTGTGCTAAAAATAAAAAAAGGCAGTGAGAACCAATTATTAATATCCTAACTACAAATATGTTTTTTCTTTCAAAAAAAAAAAAAAAAAAAAAAAAAAAAAAAAACTAGAAATATGTTTTTCAATGATTCGTATTTATCACTATCTAGAAGACCCACCCACTTTGGTTGAAAAAACTCCTTATAGCAAAAATGTGTTTAACTTGCCATAACATGACACATGGTTGTCTCTATATTATCTATTACAATTCTAAGATTCTTTTGACATCAAAATATCATTTTTGTGAAGCAAAAAGGATAACGTATTTAGCAAATTGTTGTCCCATCATCCAATTAAATATCAATTTTACAATATACTTCTTCATTGTTTCAAAATATAAATTCTTGATTCTTATAGAGAAGAGAACAATTAAACTATTAGTTTAATCCAATGTATCAAATATAAGTAATAGATATAAAAAAAATGTTAGGTTATTATTAGCTAATTAACTAGATCGATAAAGTTTTTAAAAGCGTGTATGTATCAAAACATTTGAATCGAAATCGTATCAGCATATTTTTTTTTTTTTTTGTGTGTGCCTGAACAAAATACTAACTATTCATATTGATCAAATATCTTTTTTCATTTACTATTCAAATGAATCGCTCTAATTATATCATTTATACTTATTATAAATTTTCATGTCAGTAAAGATATACATGTAGTATATTCTTATCAATTATTTTCTAATTTTATATTTGAAAAGTTAATTAGAATAAACATTCTAAAACAATTAATGTATAATATCATTAAGATCTTTTATAAACTATAATCTTTACACTATTCGATTCCAATAATGGACTAGCCGTATAAAGGTGGCACCAAACTTATAAAGAAATAGTTTGCCCCAATACAATACAAAAATTCCATTATCACTTATTGTCCCCTAGCATGAGGCGAATACACAAGCACAAATGATATATTGTATAGTGCTAAGAACAAATTATTTTATCATTAAGTATGATATTATTAGTAGTCCCATAATTATATAACAAGATACTTCAATTTGTATGACCTAATGAATTTATTTTAATCTTAAATTTTATCATGGAGTGCATAGCCTCATTTGGTACGTAGGAATTCCTTTTTGTAGGTCCAAAAAAACAATTTTTGGGGGATTCCTTGTGGTTGTGTTTAGATTATTGGATTTTGAAGAACATACTCCCGTGATTTTTTTATAGTTCTTTTTCTTTATTTAATTACAAAAAATTAAAAGAAAAACATTCTCTCGTGATTGTAAACTACTACAAAATTTTATTTAGAAAAATAATGACAAGTTGATAACCTTGAGTTTGACAAATGACAAGTTATTCAATTATGAGCATATGCAAGTTGTAGCACCGGATTTATGTCTTTATGTGATTTTGATTTGTGATCAATCTTGTCTTTCATTCTCATATGACCTCGTCTGTCTCTTAGCCTTCACACAATAGCACATCACACATGCATGCTTATATAGAGTCCGGCATGAGGGTCGATCAAGAAAACCACGAAAATGGCACAAGCCTATTGCCACAAGTTCAGCTCGACATGGCAAGAAAGACCTCTCATGGGTAACCGATGTACATGGTCATCATTTCCAAATAAAATTTGACATGAACCTAACATGACTACTACAGACTAGTCTGTGTATCGATTCGCTTATTATTTTCATGACCAATTATGAATAATTTATAAATAATAGTCAAATTAGTCTTTTATCGAGTTGATCAATAGTCTGTTGTTGATGATTATCTTTATCTCACATATCAATTATCACACAATAATAATCATCATCCTTATTAAGCTTGATCAATCCGAACAACCACTTGCTACATTAATCACTTCAAATAATTAAAAACATGTTTACGCAAGTAGCCTTGATTCCTTGAATGCATGTTTATGTAAATAGCATGACATAATTATTATTAGAGCAAGCTAAGAAGTCATCTCATATTTCTCATCTAGTGTAGGTCTTGGATCGTGACTTATTTTGTAGTTTATTGTTTGGGGGATCTGAAAATCTTCTTGTTTTTATTCCAAAACTAAATTAAATTACTAATTACTACTGTTGCTCTGAAAAATCGATAAAGATAGGTGTACATACAGTACCTTTTTTTAATATATGCTACGAATCAGATAATGAAAATTTTGACTTCTATTTTTGTAGAATTTCTTAATCTAACTTTCAACTCAATGATTTGAAAAATGTCATTCTTGTAATCTCTTTCAACAGTCCTAAAGTCAAAACTGAATATAATAGATTCAACGATAGTATACTACGTAAATAGTAACACATGCAACTTGCTCAATTAATTTGGTGCTTTGAAATGTAACACTAAGTGCCAAAGATGGAGTTCTAGGGGATAGGAATATTGCATAAAAGATGATTTCACATAATAGGAAATTTAGAAAGAAGACTTCTTATCGACCAATTCTAGCCATACCCTCCTCTCCTAGTGGAATTGTTAGTAACTCCCGTGACTCTATGAGACTATGAGTCTATGTGTTACTCCGTACCATTTATTTGCACACAACAATTTTGGAATAGTAGCGTAAGTATTTTGGGACAACTCGCGGTATCTTATATTCTTCTGTGTCCATATGATTGGGAATTTGGTATTATTTTACAAAATATAAAGAACATTGCTTATTTATTTATCGATCTTGTTAGACTAAGGGCATGTTCCGATTGACTGAACTCAGCTGAACTGAACTGAACTTATTAATTAGTGATTTTTAATTACGGATTAATGATCTTTGATTATTTATTACTATACATATGTGTATATACAAATGTACATATTAAAATATTTACGAAAAATATACTATATAATTATAAAATGTATGGAAAATATATTAAAAACTTGAAACCTCTAAACATTTTAAACACATATACTATTTAATTTAAAAATAAAATAGTATTATGACAAAAGAACACAAAACACTTACGTGTATCTAACCCATTTAAACAAATTTTCTCTAATTTAGTTTAAGTTGTGTAATACTCTAATTTTCTCAATGAGATTAACATTAGAAATGTGTATCAAAAAAATAGAACCATTTGAACAATGAATTGTATCAATATTATTATTATTATTATTATTATTATTATTATTATTATTAATTATTGATGATTATTATTATTATTTATTGATTATTATTATGAGTATTATTATTATTATTATTATTATTTATTGATGATTATTATTATTATTTATTGATTATTATTATTAGTATTATTATTTCAATTATTATTGTTATTATTATTATTATTATTATTATTGTTGTTGTTGTTTTTGTTGTTGTTGTCGTTGTAATAAGAGCTTAAAAGAATAAAATTTGGATTTATATCATTAGCAATATCATTAGACATAAATTAAGAGCTGAGTTGAACTGAACTGAACTGAACTGAGCTGAGCTAAACTGAACTGAATTGAATTGTAACGGAAGAGAACATACCCTAAATTTGTTGAACATAACTTACTTCCATTGGAATATATGTGTATGTGTGCATGACTACATGCACCGCACTCTACCACATTTGAGAGTTAACTTTATGATTAATGGATTAAATTAGCGCCTTTGATATTCCATTCAAATTGAACAACATAAATTATGAAAGGATTTAATTTGTGTCATTTATCATTCAACTATAACAAGCTAAGGAACAAAGAACTTGCTGTTGCTCATACCCCACGGATTAACTCCACCTAAATGTTTGATGGAATTATATATACAATAAACAGAACAATAAAAGAATCTTCGAGGAAAACATGACTATTTTAGTAGCCCTTTTAAATAATCATAATTGGAATTGAATCAATCTTTGCTAATGGTTGGTGTTCCGAAAGGTGCATATTAATTCCAAATAATCCTATTTATTGGGATGGACTAAGAGATATTTATAATTAAACAATAATTTATGAGAATAATGAAAATTGCATTTCGGCAAAATGGTAGACCTTTTTCTAAAAGTACAAGAAAAGATTATGTTCCTCTACCCTTAATACTTGTAATTCAACGTATCATAGAAAAGAAACTAATTCGATCAATGTCAACATATGC